CACTTGGTCCAGCTCTACATTCAAGTCCTGGATATCCTTGTAAATTTTCTGTCTCATTGATCTTGATCTGTCTAATATTGACAGTGGAGTGTTGAAGTCTCCCACTGTTATTGTGTGGGAGTCTAAATCTCATTTTAGGTCCTTAAGAACTTGTTTTATGTATCTGGGTGCTCCTGTGTTGGGGGCGTGTATATTTAGGATAGTTAGCTCTTCCTGGTGGATTGACCCTTTTACCATTATGTAGTGTCCTTTGTCTCTTTTCATTTTTGTTGGTTTGAAGTCCATTTTATCAGAGACTAACTAGGATTGCTACGCCTGCTTTTTTTTTTTTTTTGCTCTCCATTTGCTTGGTAAATCTTCTTCCATCCCTTTATTTTGAGTCTGTGTGTGTCTTTGTATGTGAGATAGGTTTCCTGAATACAGCACACTGATGAGTTCTGACTTTTTATTCAGTTTGCCAGTCTGTGTCTTTTGATTGGGGCGTTTTGGCCATTTACATTCAATGTTAATATTGTTGTATGTGAATTTGATCCTGCCATTTTGTTACTGGTTGGTTTTCTTTCCCATTAGTTGACTCATTTTCTTCATTGCATTTTTAGTCTTTGCCACCTGGTTTGCTTTTGCAGTGACTGGTAGTTGTTCATTTCCGTGCTTAGTGTTTCTTTCAGGAGCTCTTGTAGGGCAGGTCTGGTGGTGACAGAATCTCTCAATAATTGCTTGTCTGTAAAGGATTTTATTTCTCCTTCACTTACAAAGCTTAGTTTGGCTGGATATGAGATTCTGGGTTGAAAGTTCTTTTCTTTAAGGATGTTGAATATTGGCCCCCACTCTCTTCTGGCTTGTAGGGTTTCTGCTGAGAGATCTGCTGTAAGTCTCATTGTCTTCCCTCTGTGGGTGACCTGACCTTTCTCTCTGGCTGCCGTTAGCATTTTTTCCTTCATTTCAACCCTGGTGAATCTGGCCATTATGTGCCTTGGGTTGCTCTGCTTGAGGAATATTTTTGTGGAGTTCTCTGTATTTCTTGAATTTGAAATTTGGACTGCCTTGTTAGGCTTGGGAAGTTCTCCTGGATAATATCCTGGAGCGTGTTTTCCAGCTTGGATTCATTCTTTCCATAATATTCAGGTACACTGATCAAGCGTAGATTGTGTCTTTTCACATAATTCCATATTTCTTGGAAGCTCTGTTCATGTTTTTTCATTCTTTTTTCCCTTATCTTACCTTCTCTTTTTATTTCATTGAGTTGATCTTCAATCTCTGATATCCTTTCTTCTGCTTGATTGATTTGGCTATTAAAACTTGTGTTTGCTTCACGTAGTTCTCATGCTATGTTTTTCAACTCCATCAAGTCGTTTATGTTCTTCTCTAAGCTGGTTATTCTAGTTACCATTTCGTCTAACCTTTTTTCAAGGTTTTGGTTTCTCTGCTTTGAGTTAGAATGTGTTCCTTTAGATCTGAAAAGTTTACTATCCACCTTCTGAAGCCTGTTTCTGTCAATTCGCCCCCTCCCCCCACCCAGAGGGAGAGGGAGCTATAAGCCAGATAGAGGAGTAATCTTGTATTGTTCAGGAGTTGTGATCCCTTGAAGGAGAAGAGGTGTTCTGGTCTTTGATGGTTTCATCTTTTTTGCTCTGGTTTTTTCCCATCTTTGTGGATCTATCTGGCTTATAGCTCCCTCTCCCTCTGGGTGGGGGGAGGGGGCGATAACTCAGTCTGCTGGCTCTTATTCAACTCCACGCTTATAATTCCTGGCGCTTGACTGGCAAATATTCCCTGTTCTGTGTATTGCTGAGACTTTGGGGGAAGCACTGTATCTGGACCAGAGTGTCATGGGGGGGCCTCCAACTTGCCGGTCAGATGCACTTTCTGGGTGAAGCAGCACCTCTCCCCGCCTCGGTCTGCCCTGAGTAGGCTTTGCTCACCATGGGCCAGACCCGTTGAAATGCGCCTGGTACCTCGGTGGGAGCTAGGAGATCTCTGGAGTTCTATGTCTCTCTCGCTGGGTGTTGTATGCTGGAGTTGTGTCTGATCGGCTATCTTGGATCTTCTCTTCAGACTTCGCCTCTTGATGGAGGTGTGTCATGTTACCTAAGAGAAGCACATAGGATGGGATATATGCTATATGTTGGTGTGTACCACATTGCTTGTCATCTTTGCATGATTTCCTCCAGATCAGGGGAATCTGATTAGCCAGGATTAGGTCATAGTCTGACCCCCAGACTCTACCAGGGGTGGAGAAAGAGGTTTGGTTCTCCTCTGCTTCTGAATGCAAATGTAGGTCCCTAGAGCTATCCTCCCGCCAAGACTCTACATAGCCTGGAAGAGAAAACTTGCCCTTCCTTATATGAAGCACCTAGAGTAGGCAGATTCATGGAGACCACAAGTAAAGTAGAGGTTCCAGGGGCTGGAATGGAGGGAGAATAAGTAATTGTTTAATATTGGATACGGAGTTTCAGTTTGAGATGATAGAAAAGTTCTGGAGATGGATGGTATTGATGGTTGCACAATAGTGCGAATGTATTTAATGCCACTGAATCATATGCTTACAAATGGTTAAAAGGATAAGTATTGTGACATGTATATTTTACCATACATAGACACACAGATTGTTGAATGAGTTGAAGGAGCAGAAGACAGGGGTCCACTACTGGACATTGATTTTCTTGGCATATCCCTGCGATCCAGAGGTCAGCAAGTTGCTGCTGCTTACGCTGCCTATGCCCTGCAGCAACCTCAGTTCCCACAGAGCTGATGACTGGGTGTAGGCTGCTGTATCTGGGCAGGTGCCTCTACAGAACGGCAGAGCTGATAACCAGACACTGGAGATGCTGAGTCTGGCTACATACACTCATGAGTTGAAAGAGGGAGGCTTCCATCTCACTATCAGTTTCCAAATCTCATATCCTCTTTCTGGGTGGAACCAGATTTTCACTTAGAAACCTGACTGCTAGGGAGTTTGAGAAAAGTAGTTTTCAGTTTTATAGCCCCTGTGGGCAGAAAAGAAAATAGAAAGGAGTAGAAATGGATGCTAAGCGACAATTGACCATAAACAATAGTGTTCCGCAGTATTGATGTACTATAAATTATATAATCAGTTAACCAATCCCCAGTGGCAATGAGAATATGTTGGCTACTTAGAGCTTTTTGTTGTTACAATCTGGGAGTGGGCAGGTATGGTGGCTCATGCCTATAATCCCAGTATTTCGGGGAGACCAAAGAGAAAGGATTGCTTGAGTCCAGGAGTTTGAGACAAGCCTAGGGCAACATAGCGAAACCTCGTCTTTACAAAAAATTTAAAAATAATTAGCTGGCAGGGTGGTGCATGCCTGTAGTCCCAGCTACTTGGGAGGCTGAGGCAGGAGGATTGCTTGAGCCAGGAGATCAAGACTACAAGAACCCAAAATCATGCCACTGCACTCCATATCCAGTCTGGGAGACAGAGCAAAACAAAATCTAAAAAAAAAAAAAAAAAAAAAAAAAAAAAAAATCTGTGCGCATCAGTGAGAATACAATAAATTCTAAGATAGAAGGAAAATGTCACCTCTGACATTTTTAATGTGTACCATTTTGATTCTTAATGTAGCAGAACATTTTCCCACTTTTTTGTATTCTCTTTTCAGTTGGTCTTGTCTTTTGGTCATTTATCAAATGAACTCTTACATTTTATTATCAATTTGTGTGCATTTGTTTTATCTAATCAACATATTACCCTGTTTTTTTTTTTTTTTTTTTTTTTTTGGGGAAAAGTTTTTTTCGTTTTTGCCACCCAGGCTGGAGTGCAATGGTGCGATCTCGGCTCACCGCAACCTCCGCCTCCTGGGTTCAGGCAATTCTCCTGCCTCAGCCTCCTGAATAGCTGGGATTACAGGCACGCACCACCATGCCCAGCTAATTTTTTGTATTTTTAGTAGAGACGGGGTTTCACCATGTTGACCAGGATGGTCTCGATCTCTTGACCTCGTGATCCACCCGCCTCGGCCTCCCAAAGTGCTGGGATTACAAGCGTGAGTCACCGCGCCCGGCGTATTACCCTGTTTTTAAAAATTATTTTGAGACAGGATCTCACTCTTGCCCAGCTGGAGTACAGTGGCACGATCACAGCTCACTGCCTCCTTGACCTCCTGAGCTCAAGCAATCTTCCCCCCTCAGCCTCCCAAGTGGCTGGATACAGGCACGTGCCACCACGCTCAGCTAATTTAAAATATTTTTTGTAGACATGGGTCTCACTATGCCGTCCAGTCTTGAAATCAGCAAATTAGCCTCTTGCCATATATACTACAAATATATTCTCTAGCCTGTTGTCTGGGTTTTTTTTTTTTTTTTTTTAGTGATTTTTTAAATATAAATTTTGTATTAAGTTTCTTGATATCTTTTACTTAAATGTCAGCATTTTTCCTTAGAAATGTTTTATTCTCGGCTGGGCATGGTGGCTCACACTTGTAATCCTAGCACTTTGGGAGGCAGAGGCAGTCAGATCACGAGGTCAGGAGATTGAGACCATCCTCGCTAACATAGTGAAACCCCATCTCTACTAAAAATACAAAAAATTAGCCAGGCATGATGGTGGTCACCTGTAATCCCAGCTACTTGGGAGACTGAGGCAGGAGAATTGCCTGAACCCAGGAGGCGGAGGTTGCAGTGAGCTGAGATCATGCCACTGCACTCCAGCTTGGGCAACAGACAAAGACTCTGTCTCAAAACAACAACAAAAATGTTTTCATTCTCTACTTTTAGAGACTTGATAAATATTCAATTCTAATTCTGTGTGTCTGTGTATTTGGATATAGAGTCATGCCATTTTTGTGCTGTTTTAGTGAATTTTAACGTATAAAAAGTGCTCAAATCATAAGTCTACAGTTCTTTGAATGTTTATGAACTGAGTCTTTTTTTTTTTTTTTAATCAGTCTGGAACTTATTTTGCTATAGTAATAGTCTCGTTTTATTTTATCCGTAAATTATTGGGCTCCTTTCCAGGGGAATCATGTTTACCTTCCATATAGATCCCACCCATGTGATGGGCCTGTACCCTGACCTGCTGCCCACAGACTACAGGAAGCAGCTGCAGTATCCCAACCCATTGCCTGTGCTCTCGGGGGCTGAACTGGAGAAGGCGCACTTAGCTCTAATTGACTACCTGACACAGGTAGGTATAATACAGAATGTGTGAAAGAGTTTGCCTGGGAGTGTCACTACTTGTTTCTCAATGGCAAGGAATTGAGGGCCTTCTCTAATGCCAAGACATTCCATAAATGAATGCTCTAGGAAGTCTGCCTGGGGTAAGGTTTCTTTCTGCCACTTCTTCTAACTTAACAGTACCGTTGAGGTGGGGTTTTTCTGCCAAATCTTGATAATAAACACACCCAATTCGTAGTAAATTCACACTAAGCTGTTATAGGAACTAAAAAAGGTAAATTTTAATTGATAGAGGAGTACACGTTTTTTTAAAACAAACTTTCTGTAACATACATGGTTTTAGGGGAAATGCCTCCTATATATGGAACCACTTGGAAAACACAAAATGGCTTCTCGGCCTTTTGGCTAAGATCAAGTGTGAAAAACACACAAAAAAGGACAAAGCAGAAATACAAATTTCCTGTAACTCTACCACCAGAACATAAGAAACTAAACATTTTAGTGTTGTCCTTCTAGACTTTTATATCTATCAATTAGCTTTTGTGTATTTACTTCTTGGTTTATTTATTGCAAATGGATATCAAATTAGATATTGTTTTATAGCTTACTTTAAAAAAATTTAGCCATATACTGAGAAAGTCCTTCCTTGTCAATACATACTCTTCTATAACATGTTTTTTAGGGAGGTATTTAGATTTAAATTTTTTTATGATTTACTGTTATAGACAGATACGTTAAATTTTTTTAAGTCAGCACTAAAACCAACATCTCCATTAAAGCCTCTTAACCCCAGATTTCTGTCATAGAAGGCTGTTGTTTATTTCCTGTGTACCTATTCAGAATCAGAGGCCTTACTGATATTTTTTCCTCTCAGGTGTTCTGCAGACCTTTCTAAGGGGTCTCCAGAATGCTCCAGCATAGGCACTGAGAAATATTGCTGTGGGCTGGGCGCAGTGACTCATGCCTGTAATCCCAGCACTTTGAGAGGCCAAGATAGGAAGTCATCTGGGGTCAGGAGTTCGAGACCATCCTGGCCAACATGGCAAAACTCCGACTCTACTAAAAATACAAAAATTGGCTGGGCCTGGTAGCCTGCGCCTGTAATCCCAGCTACTCAGAAGGCCGAGGCAGGAGAATCACTTGAACCCAGAAGGTGGAGGTTGCAGTGAGCTGAGATTGTGCCACTGCACTCCAGCCTTGGTGACAGAGTGAGACTCTGTCTGAAAAAAAAAGTATTGCTGGAAAACTTCTCATGCCGCTTTCTACTTTCTGCCTCTGGGTCAGTGAATGCCTGCAGATCCGATCAGGCATGGGTGGCCTTGGTCCTTCCTTGACATTGGGCTTCAGGGGTACCCTCCTGGGGCTGGCAGCCTGCAAGGAGCACACAAACTTGCCATTGCCTATACCTTGCACAACGCTGTGCCAAGTACAAATGATTCCTGGGAATAGTATCTCCCAAATCCTGTAGCATTGTGGAAGGCCCTCCACTGCCAATGTCTTTGCCGTAGGAAGGTGAGCACACATTCTTTCCTGGCCTTCTTCACTGACACTGGCAATGCATGAAGTAACTGACACTAGTCTTGTGCCAGAGAGATGGCATAGCAAGACCATGGGCTTTGCCACACTCAAGAGAATACATACTGGATGAAGTTCTAGGATAGGCAGAAACTCATTTCCAAGGATTAAGAGCAGATGGGTGGATGGGATTGTTTGGGAGCAGCATGAGGAACTTTCTGGAGTGATAGAAATGTTACCTTCCTTCACTGAGGTGGTGGTTACATGCATGTGCACCTCTGTCAAAATGCATCTGATGGTACAATTTAAAAGGTTATATTTTATTGTAAGTTACACCTCAATAAGGTAATTTTTTTTTTTTTTTAAATGAAGTCTCACTCTGTCACCCAGGCTACAGTGGCGTGATCTCGGTTCACTGCAACCTCCACCTCCTGGGTTCAAGCGATTCTCCTGCCTCAGCCTCCTGAGTAGCTGGAATTACAGGTGCATGCCACCATGCCAAGCTAATTTTTGCATTTTTAGTAGTGACAGGGTTTCATCATGTTGGTCGGGCTGGTATCGAACTCCTGACCTCATGATCTGCCCTCCGCAGCCTCCCAAAGTGCTGGGATTACAGGTGTGAGCCACTGTGCCTGGCCAAGATTGACTTCTTAAAAAATGAAAGAACATGGGATTTGGAGTCAGACCCCAGTTTCAATCCTGCCCTGCCCCTTATGTAGCAGCTGACATCTATGCCTTGGGTTCCTCACCTATAAAATAAGGATAATATTATCTGCACTTGTTCTAGGTTTAAGGTGGTATATATGAAGTGCTTGGCATGGTACCTAGTCTGTAGTAAATATTTAATAAATAATTATTGTTGTCTCTGTGGCAGTTTGGCAGTGCTAAAAATTGAATCGAGATCAGGCCAATAGGCATGAGCTGATTTGGAGGTATTCAGAATTACCCAGTAGCCCAGGTGACAAAGGAAGACTTAGTCCTGGCATTAACCCCTGATCTTTGTAGAAACGAAGTCAACTGGTAAAGAAGCTGAATGACTCTGATCACCAGTCAAGCACCTCCCCACTCATGGAAGGCACTCCCACCATCAAATCCAAGAAGAAGCTGCTACAAATCATCGACACCACCCTGCTCAAGTGCTATCTCCATGTGAGTTACCTGAGCACTCGGGTGCCACAATTCCCAGCTACCCTGACAGTCTGGGAAAGTCAAAGGGAGTGCTAGACCCTGGGGGATCTGCCACTAGTAAGAGTGAAGTCATCGATTCTGGAAACCATATAGACTTCTCCTGATGCCTATGAGTCTCTTGGAATTAAGAGGATAAGGCAAGATATTGATGCAAAATTGTACAGTGGGTTCATCTTCTCTGGTTGGATTGCAGTTAGTGCTACAAAGTCAGCTGGGACAGTATTTCCTTCAAGAAGTTCTGTCCCTCTTCTCCCCCACAGAATGTTAAAACACATTGTGCAAAGGGTCATAAATGCGCTAAAAGCCACCACCTGCTGTCCTGAAAGAGGGCTGTCTGCTTTCTCTTGCTTGTGCTACATCCTGGCCTTTCAGTGTGGAGCAGGCCTACACTAGGGAAGGTTGGGGTCTCCTAGGAAGCAGTTTCCACTGAAGTCCTGCTCTTTCTGCAGACGAATGTGGCCCTGGTGGCCCCCTTGCTACGCCTGGAGAACAATCACTGCCACATCGAGGAGAGCGAGCACGTGCTGAAGAAGGCTCACAAGTACAGTGAGCTGATCATTCTGTATGAGAAGAAGGGGCTCCATGAGAAAGGTGGGGTGGAGGTGGTTCCTTGGATCTGGGAGGGGCTGTTATACATGGCAGGGGAAATCGGCTGGGATATGACAAATCTCCTGTGGGGAAAAGGTTCATGACCTTGTTCTTGGATTTGGTGGCCAGCTCTGCAGGTGCTTGTGGACCAGTCCAAGAAAGCCAACTCGCCTCTGAAAGGCCACGAGAGGACAGTGCAGTATCTGCAGCATCTGGGTAAGTCCACCTTTTGAAAGGCGTGGGAAAGCGCTCCTATTCAAATGACCTGGTCTCCCTCCATTTCTGATTCTGGTTGGTTGCTCCCCTCCCTCCCGTGCTTGTGTTCACTCAATTTCATTCCTCTGGATGGCATAAAAATCCTTCGGTGGTTGACCTATGACAGCCCCCTGGTATGTAGCCAACCTAGTAGGGCCAGCAGCCCTGAGTGGCTCATGCTTGAGCTATCTTTTCAAGAAAATGAATTCTGGGGCAGCCTGCCTACCTGCCTTCCCAGTGCCACTGGCAGGGTGGGCCTCAACTGCTGACAAGTCCTGCTTTTCCCTCTAGGCACAGAAAACCTGCATTTGATTTTCTCCTACTCAGTGTGGGTGCTGAGAGACTTCCCAGAAGATGGCCTGAAGGTGAGCCACAGGAGTCTCTTGGATTGATCTGGTACCACACTTGGTCCTGATTGCACCTGGGACAGCAGTGGATGGAGAGGAGGGTGGATTCATGCATCTGTCCTCTTTGGTGTTTGAAAGGGTGCACTAGGAAGCGTGAGGCAGTGCTGTAGTTGGTAGAAAGAGCCTTGCACAGGCATGAGGAGGCCTGCACCTCATCTGACATGCTGACTGCCTGCAAATGTCTTCTCGTGCCCCTTCCCCTCCTAAAGTCTGTTTGATCCCTGTGCTCACATGCCCGTGTGTTTGGTGGGACTGTAGTCAGATGGTTCTGCTGCTAGAACTCAGGTTCATTCTGACAGATATTTACTGAAGATCTCCCGGAGGTGGAGTCTCTGCCACGTGATCGAGTCCTCGGCTTCTTAATAGAGAATTTTAAGGGTCTGGCTATTCCTTATCTGGTAAGGTATTTTTTGGTCTGCACTAAAAAGCCTTAAACCCAGGATCCAGGACTGCATGGTTCAGTTATTGGGCTGTTCATATTTGGGATTTATGTCACTTGGGGATTGGAGAGATGAGGGTTATTGCAACTTCCTCTGAAGAAAATGATCCCAGTAGACCAAGCTGGAAATGTTACTTTTGATGCTACCTACCAAATCTAGGTAAAATACAGAGATTTTTTACCTAGATGATGTTTTAGAAAAAAAAAAAAAAAATTCCAAAGCCACATTTGTACAACCAAACTCAACAGTGACCACAGGACAGTCAAATAGGCTTAAGTACCAGGATGCAGACATTTAACCATAATTACATGGGTCGATGTGAGAGTTTGGAGGATTATGGGATGAAGTTAATACAAAGGAGTTTAGACTAGAAATTGAGAAGACAGTTCCTGACATTACTGGGTCGCATTGTGAAACTTCCCGGTGGTTTTAGACGAGCTGCCTCTTTGTAATCCTTGAAGCCTGATTAGGGGATAATCTAGAAAGGACCTGTTGGGCCTTAAAAATGTGAGGGAGACTGGGAGACCAGGTCACAGCCTGGAGAATGCCAGTGACAAAGACCTACATCTTGCCTCAGGAACACATCATCCACGTTTGGGAGGAGACAGGCTCTCGGTTCCACAACTGCCTGATCCAGCTGTACTGTGAGAAGGTGCAAGGTCTGATGAAGGAGTATCTCCTGTCCTTCCCTGCAGGTACCAGTTCTCTTAGGAAGCCAGTGGCCCCGGGCTTTAGAGGAGAGCACAGACCCAGGTGCCACATGTAGTGGCAGTAAGCAGGCCACCCTGTTCTCTGCCCAGGAGGGCAGAAGTTATGAAGAGGAGCCAGGGGAGCTAAGTGACACAGGCCTTGCACATGAGACTCAGGAGCTCTCGTCTGGGTCCTGGCATCTCTGAGTGTCTCAGAGTCATCCCTGGGGGAGGGTGGAAGGAACAGATCTATGTGCAAGGTGACAGTTGCACTGATAAGAAACAGGTTTGCCCACAGAGTATATCTCTATTCAGCTTATTTTTTAACTTTAAGCTGATGTTCTAGGGCCACATAGAGACCATGAATGAAAAGAAGTTAGTATGGAGGCCACCCTGGAGGCCCTTTCTGGTCATGTGGTGACATCCTTGAACCCCATTCCCTTCATTTTTCTTGGTGACCCCACATTGCCACCTGGCAGCGTCCTTTCATATTGAGCTTGGTTTCCCTTAAAGGCAAAACCCCAGTCCCAGCTGGAGAGGAAGAGGGTGAGCTGGGAGAATACCGGCAAAAGCTCCTCATGTTCTTGGAGATTTCCAGCTACTATGATCCAGGCCGGCTCATCTGTGATTTTCCCTTTGATGGTGAGTGTCCGGCTTAGGGCCAGAAACCACTTTAGCTGAAGGTTGTACAAAGACTGATCCACCCCTTTAATTGTTCCTCAACTCTCTGTAAAAGTTGGGCTTGGAAAAACCAGGTGTTTCAGGCTAGTGCTCCTGTTTCTTCCCCTCTGAAGACTCACTTTTGTACCATGACTAAGGAAAGTCTCCTTCCTGGATATGAATCACATGCTAATTGATAGCCAGGTTGCAACCTGTTTTTTTTGCTTCAGAACATGTTCTTGGCCAAGTTCGTCATTCAGCGGTTTTGTAATCTGGCATAATTTGTCCGATGTATAAGCTCTGTGAGAGCTGAGATCAAGCGTTTGCTCATCTTACCTGAACTACCTGGCATGTCGTAGGTGGTTAAGTACTTGGCTGCTGAATAAATATTCTTACCCAGTTTATATGTGATTGCCAAAAAGATGGGATAAAGTACTGCCTAAAATATAGCTCCCTCCCCTTTTTTTAAACTTCATTCATTTTCTCCTTGAAGAAAAACCCAAGCAATAAGAATCCTGTCTTTGTCCCTTTTATATTGCCCTGTGTCCATTCCTCTGACAGCATAGCCCTCACCTTGTGCTTGCGTGATGGCAGCAGTGGGTCCTCATATTCCTTTTCCTCCTAGGCCTCTTAGAAGAACGAGCTCTCCTGTTGGGGCGCATGGGGAAACATGAACAAGCTCTTTTCATTTATGTCCACATCTTGAAGGATACAAGGATGGCTGAGGAGTAAGTTTGCCCCGCCATCCCACCTCCTAACCAGTCTAAAAGCAGGCCCTGCAGAGAGATGAGAGCTAAGAGGGCCATCTCCCCATCCTCTGCTGCAGAGGCAAGAATCTCCTCTGTCCCAGCCCCCAGTTTTGGCTGTGGTTAGGCTGCTCGAGCAGGCTGCATGCACAGACAGCCTCTCATCTAGATGTGCCCCCACCACCTGCTCATCACTTTCTTTCTTGCAGGTACTGCCACAAACACTATGACCAAAACAAAGATGGCAACAAAGATGTGAGTAGTGGCCCTGACCCAGGAAATGTGTGTGCATACCTCACCCCATCAGTTTGACCAGAGGGGGCACTAATATGAGTGGCAGAATAAGATAGGGCATGGGTCAGGGCACTGATTGATCCTGCATGTGTGTATTGAGGGAGAGCAGGGGACCATTCATCCTGGTGTGCTTGGGGTAGTTCCAGCACACATCTGTTGTCATCCCTGTGATTTTTTTTTTTTTTTTTTTGAAATGGAGTTTCACTCTTGTTACCCAGGCTGGAGTGCAATGGCGCGATCTCGGCTCACTGCAACCCCCGCCTCCTGGGTTCAAGCAATTCTCCTGTCTCAGCCTCCCGAGTAGCTGGGACTACAGGCACATGCCACCATGCCCAGCTAATGTTTGTATTTTTAGTAGAAACAGGATTTCACCATGTCAACCAGGATGGTCTCGATCTCTTAACCTTGTGATCTACCCGCCTTGGCCTCCCAAAGCACTGGGATTATAGGCGTGAGCCACCGTGCCTGGCCTATCCCTGTGATTATTAATGGCTCTCCTGTCTCTACTCTCAGAAGTCTTGATTTGTATAATAAATGATAAGGTCCACCTGTTGAGCAGGAACCTGTCATTGTTCTGATGTACTTACTCTATCTCGAATACACATTGACCTGTCAATGTCTAGAGACATTTTTGATTGTTGGGACTGAGGGCAGGGGTGCTGCCAGAATCCAGGGGGTAGAGGACAAAAAGGCTGCTAAACAATGCACAGGACCGCCCCCAAACCAAGAATCATCCAGCCCCGAATGTGCATTGAGGTTGAGAAACCCTGTGGTACTGGCGCCAGTAGGAAACGCAGCATCTCACCTGAGGTTATCCCCACCTGCAAAAATGTGGACAGGATCTCAGCTTTTAAAGCCAAAGGGAATGAGGAATCTTTTTGAATTATTTTATAGTGGTAGCATTTTGTAAATGGTATAATGGTAAACAAATACAAGGCATTTGTTTTTTTTTCTCTCAGGGAAAAAGCAGTCCTTAATTAACATCTTCAGTTGCCTGTTTGACCTTACCAATTTTAAAAGGTGAAAATAACAAGTTTTAAATGCTCAGTGATAGGCGAGCCTCTCGAATCTTTAGGGGTGCTCAGGGCTGGGGGTTCTGGGAGGGCTGCTGCCAGCCTAATGTGGCTCATGTCTCTCTGAGACAGGTATATCTGTCCCTGCTTCGGATGTACCTGTCACCCCCCAGCATTCACTGCCTGGGGCCAATCAAACTGGAACTGCTGGAGCCAAAGGCCAACCTCCAGGCTGCCCTGCAGGTCCTCGAGCTACACCACAGCAAACTGGACACCACCAAGGTCAGGAGTTGTTCCCAGGGAAGTGGAGGGCGTTTACAGGGAGTACCAAATAAGAAGAGGAAATGTGGAAAGGGACTAGGGTCCAAGAGCTCCATGGCTGCAGACCTTTCTTCATTCTCACTCCTCTTCCACCTCATGCAGTCTCTATCTCTGTTCCTGCCCCTAGGCCCTCAACCTTCTGCCAGCAAACACTCTGATCAATGACATACGCATCTTCCTGGAAAAGGTCTTGGAAGAAAATGCACAAAAGAAACGGTTCAATCAAGTGCTCAAGAACCTTCTCCATGCAGAGTTCCTGAGGGTATGGGCTTCCAAACTCTAGGGTGGGCTTTTAATGTTTAGTACGTGACAGTGTCCACATGTTCCCTTCCGACTAAGGCAGAGCCTGTACAGTGCAGCTTAAGTTGATCCCATAGCCAGCTTGACATTGAATTGCCACTGTTCTAAGCAGAAGAATCTGTGAAGACTGAAAGAGGAAACAGTGCTGGCCTGTGCCTCCTCTTTCTGGGTGCCACACCATGGAACTTCTTCCTCAGTCCCCCTGTTCTTCCAGGTCCAGGAAGAGCGGATTTTACACCAGCAGGTAAAGTGCATCATCACAGAGGAGAAGGTGTGCATGGTGTGTAAGAAGAAGATTGGGAACAGGTGAGCCTCCTCCACAGCTGTGCAGCATCTGGGCTCTGTGGAGGGTTCCCCGGCGAGTGGACAATGCTCAGGTTGGATTTCTGCCCTTTAACCGGGGAGGAGAACATGCCGTTGGCTGTCCTGACAGCTTTTAGTTCTTGAGCCTTCAGAGAGCAGCCTGTGCTATCTGTTAGGGGTGGGCTTTGAGAATGTAAAGACCTGCAATGTATGGTCTTTATGTATGGAGCTGTTGGATACTTGTCCAAAAAGCTCTTCCCCTCTGGAAGCCAGAAACTGATATAGTGGGTGCCCAAGAGTCGTAAGTCAGCAGAAAGTTCTTATATTTTAAAGAAGAGCCGGTGAAGGAAGAAAAAGATCTTTCAAGCTACTGCATTGTGACTTGAGTAGGATCCTGAGCCAGCCTCATGCTGTGTTCAGACATACACTCTCATTAGTCCCCTTTTCTTCAAAGGAGAGTGGTTTGTCACTTTTCTTTTTTTTTTTTTTTTTTTTTGAGACGGAGTTTCGCTCTTGTTACCCAGGCTGGAGTGCAATGGCGCGATCTCGGCTCACCGCAACCTCCGCCTCCTGGGTTCAGGCAATTCTCCTGCCTCAGCCTCCTGAGTAGCTGGGATTACAGGCACGCACCACCATGCCCAGCTAATGTTTTGTATTTTTAGTAGAGACGGGGTTTCACCATGTTGACCAGGATGGTCTCGATCTCTTGACCTCGTGATCCACCCGCCTTGGCCTCCCAAAGTGCTGGGATTACAGGCGTGAGCCACCGCGCCCAGCCGGTTTGTCCCTTTTCTTTTGTAGCTGGAAAAATCTTTTTCTTTAGAAAGACAACTTGCTGTCCTTTTTAGAATTAGCCTGAAACCTGTTCTGATGAACACTGTCGGCTCTCAGTGAGCCATTGCTGAGCTTTGGGCTGGTGCACTGCCTATCTTTATTATGCCGTGTGTTTTGCATAATAAAAAACCCCATGCACTTTACTGTGTGCACCTCATCCTCTGTTGGGTTATTTGACAGAGACAATGGCTGCAGAAATCCAGAGCCACTGAGGGCAGGCTGTTCTTTGAGGTCTGGGTGGGCTGCTTCTGGGATGGCCTCCAGCAATGTGCCTCTTCTTTAAGAGGTGCCACTGCCAGAGAAGTGGTCACTTAGAGGCAGTCCTCACTCCTAAGCCGTTTTCTTCACTGCAGTGCATTTGCAAGATACCCTAATGGAGTGGTCGTGCACTACTTCTGTTCCAAAGAGGTAAACCCAGCTGACACTTGAGCCCAGCATCCTGGGGATCCAGCCGATGGACAGCTTGGCTCTCCCAGAGAGGAGAAGGAGCGCCTGGCCTTAGGAATCCTGTCTGCCACCACCACAGGGCTCCCGATTTGGACACTACTGGCTGTCTTGTGCCCTGGAACAACTCTGAATTCATTAGACTCATGGTCTGGCATTGCCAGCTTTTTAATGGGAAAAGAGATTAGTTATACCTTATACCTTTATGCTGTGGGCAATTCCAGAGAATTCGGTGTCTGCCTGGACAGGAGGAGGCGCACCATCTTGCCTTTGAATACCAGTCACCTGCAAAAGGAAGCTTGTCAAAAATGTTTGTAACCATGGCGTTGTTCTTCAAGGGCTTTTCTATTGAGATAAGTGCACGATTTCACAAGGACCCCTTAGCGTGGCTCACCGGAGAATTCCATGAGAGAACAGTGCTGAAGCTTCTGGCCGCATGGACCCGACGGCTCGCGTTGTGTGTAGCGCATTATGTCCCCAGGGTAGCCATGCCCTGTTAGTTTTCAGTCTCCTTTTCTTTCTCACCACGTATCACTCCCCTCACTGCCCTACGCAGGCTTTCTCTCCCACTTCCCTGACTCTGGGAATAATGATATTTAAGCAAGGTAAGATGAGAAGCTAGGGGAAGTCTCAGTTCCTTGGAATACAGTGAGAGTTGATTGTCGAGTATGTTGTAAATAGATCCTCTTTGGCCATTCTCTGCCTAGGAAAGGCCCTGCATCCCTCTCCTCAGGTCAAGCTGAGTATGATGGCAGCTCCTGAGGATGGTCCTGCCCTGTCTGGGGTATGTGTGATCCCTAGGCACATGTTCCCGCAGTGGTCCCTACTCCAGCTTCGCTCACCAGACACTCAGGCGGGCTGGCTTAGTCTTTGCGAGTGGACTTTGTGCTCTGGGCCTTTTCTCTTTTTCCAGCCAGTTTCCGTTCACTTGCCTCACAGCCTGTCCTGGCCGTCGCTCCCCAGCTTTGTTTGGCAGCAGTGTGGTAGCAGGATTGTGCTGGGATAGTGCAGGAAGGTGGGTCCCAGCAACACGCAGGGGATGAGTGGAGCGAGAACTGACAATGGTGTGATGCCAAGTGTTCTTGAGAGGCTACAGGCATGGCAGAGGATGTGGGGGCAGGAACAGCAGCACGCTGGTTTAAAAATAACTCACCGCCAAACCTGGGAAGCAGTGTCGGGGATCCTGACGGATGTGTAGGGGCTGGAGTTTCAGGCACTGCAGGCTGAGGACACACAGGGACAGTGGTCCTGCCAGCAGTGTGTGGTGCCACGTCCCCACTGGCCATACCCACACAGAAGCAGTGCTGCCTGGGGCCTCGTCCGGGCCAGCTCGGACTCTGCTTCCTCCAGGAGCGGCAAGGAAGCATTGGGCCACCTCTCTGGAGAGCAGGAACTTGCCCTGCCACATGAGCCCTGCCTTCCTGGCCAGCTGTGCTTGTATCTTCCATTCTCACGAACTGTGTTTGAAGCAATAGAATAAAGAATGTGTGTTTTCTTTCCTGGTATACATACACAACCCCATACTCCCAAACTTCATTCTTCCTTCCCTCAACTGTCTGCCCTCCACAGAGTTCTGGAGAAGGCTGGAGATGAAAGCTTTGTAGCGAGGACTGATAAAGGTCTCATCACTGCTCCTCATAACAAACCTAATAAAGCAAGAAACCAAGCCTGTCTGGGTCTCTTATTTCCCCCTCCTGTGGAGTTTGATGAAAATAATAATGAAAAGATAGTAATTTAACAAAGAACCTAGAAGAATAAGCCAATTAGTGACTAAGAAAAAATGAATATAACGCTTGCATTACAAACACCCCATGCCACCTGGTACAGCCAGTGTGGTCATGGCTGATGAGTTGGCAGCACAGACACAGAACATTGTCGTCATTACAGAATTCTACCGGACACACTGGAGCTCCAGGAGATCCAAGTGTTTTCCCCCCTCATGTAGTAGGGCCTAGGGCCTTTTCCTACAGACCATGATGACTGGAAGGAATTGGGATGGTGGGACGCAGGGGTGTTTGGGAAGTGGAGAAGTGTTGGTTCCTTTTGGCCAGGTCCAAAGAGAAAATGTAGTCCTTGTTTCTGTCACATCTGGCACTAGGGACAATGACTTTATTGTGTAGTTGGGCCGATGACTTCCAGAAGAGGGTGGGACAGCCCAGAAAGCACATCAGTTGGGAGCCAGGGCCCCAGCCTGTTTCCATCCTAAGCTGGCTCTGCCCTCTCGTATGGATCCGTGGGTCCCCTGCACACATTCACAAGGATCACCAAGGGTGCTGGATTCTCATTTCTTAGACCCTGGCCAGGTCTTGGCTTCACAATCCAAATTAAGCACACAGGCCCTTCTTTGTGGCCTGGTCACTAGCCGTCACACATCCCTTTTCAGGTGGAGTTTCTGGTCTGACCTTGCTCATTTGGTTCATTTTGGAGTTGAATCATATCTTTTTTTTGGATGTTGCATATTTCATCCTGCGACTCAGCCTTGGGAAGAGTGGAGGTGACTGAATTTTAGTTGAGGGACAGAAATTTTCTCACCTCCCACAGTTCATGGCCCCAGAGATCCTCACTCTTCCCGGAGACTGTGCCTGTCTTGGCCACCTGATGGTTGTGGTGCACAGAAGAGCCGACATCATATCCATCTGCAGCCTAAGGCTTCCTATGGCCAAAGATCACGATGAAGCCTGTATCTAGTCGCTGAAGGACAGGTAGACTTGTTTTTTTGCCTTATACTCCCTACCCCTATGCCGGTCTGTACCTGGACCCCGTTCACTGACCCAGGAAGCGGGCCTGGGCAGAAGCCACAGGGAGTCACGAGACTAAATTTCTCCAGGATGTGCATGGGCCTGCCTCACCTTTGCATTCCTGGGCCTAGCACAGATCTGGTACCCACCAGGCTCTTGATGTTTGGAGAATTAATGAGGGTGGTCAGGAGAGATTAGAAACATCTTTGAGCCCTGATGAAACACTGAATCAGAGATTTCTAGACTTCTGCTCAAGATCCGCAGGGAAGGTGGGACTTGAATGGTAGCTAATTTGGGGCCTTTTCCACAGCTGGAGGAGACTAGTCCCTGATTTGCACATGCCAGCTGATCTCTGGGCCAGCTGGGCCAGCCTCACCTAGAGTTCTTGTTGGAAATGGCTCCGATGTCTATTTTTCACAAACAGCCCAGTGATAACCAGGGAGTTCGTGAACAGAAGTGCTGACCAGACTCCGAGAGCCTTTTGGAGAGGGACTGAGCTGCCTCCTGCCTGGGAAAATTAGGCTCCAGTCACTTCCTGGAGCATGTCAAACCCCACCTCCAGCAGGGCATCCAGCCTGAGTCCTTCCTCTGCAGAGCAGGCAGCTCCACCCTTTCTGCTCAGCTCTACCTGTCACACCTGAGCCAGCAGTTTGTGTAGTCAGAGGAGCACAGACAGGGCTGCATGCTGGGGCCTGGGCTGCCCAGCCATGCTCTGGGCACTCTGGCCAAGGTGGCTGGCAGGCAAAATGCTGCCCCTCCTGGGGGCAGTGCTGCTTCGGAAGAGCGAGAAGAGGGGCCCTCCTTGGAGGCACTGTTGGGTAATGTACCTGAGAAGACCTGGGAAACCCGACTAGGGCAGTGCTGGGAGCTGCTGCGCTCTGTGGAGGCAGGCCAGCCCCAGCCCGGGATTTTGAGTTGGGGTGGGACCTGTTTATTCTAGATTACCTGGCAGAGCTTAAATTAGACCGTGGCTTTTGAAAATAGCTTCCTCTTAGCTTAAATGTGGCTGTTAAAAAAAAAAAAAAAAAGGAAATAGCTCCCTCCAATTAGGAAATGGAGGGCTAGTTCACTTGACACTTGTCTCTGGTGGGTTGGCTGTTGCTAAGGAAGCTCGAGACTGTAGAGGGTCCCCCCCACGCCACCCCTCCCACCCCCACCCTGGACTGGCCGGGTTGTGAGGGGAAGGCTTCCCTCCCAGCAGGTGGCACACTGATGTTATCTCTCCTGAGCTCAGCTGCAATCTCCTCAGTGACTCATCAGACCGGTACAGGCAGGGCTGGTGACTCTTGGCATTCACTCACCTACCTGCTCGCTGCCTCCTAGGTGGTCTTTGGACCCGTGTCAGGGAGAAATTGAGAGAGAGGGTGTCACCATTTTCTCTCTTAATATTGATTTTAAATTTAATATTGATTTAAAATTGCTCCTCAAGCACATTAGTGCAGCAATCCTAGCCACTCCCAAGCTCAAGTGGTGGCGCGGGGGTCTGCGGGGAGCCGCAGGTGTGTGGTGCGTGACAGCCGCCATTGCTTGAGTGAGTCCATGCTGGATGTAGATTTGAACCCAGCCCTGATGGGTTCCAGGATCCAGACGTGTCACCAAGGTGCTGAACTCCCAGTGCCTGGGCATTGCCAAGGTCTCCCTGCTCCGCGGCACAGAGACATCAGTGACCCCGTGCCAGGCTGCTGCTCTATGATGGGCTGAGGGGAACAATCGGTGAGGGACCAGGCTCACACCAGCAACTGAGTCCCCGGAGTTCTGTTGTTGCAGCGGGAAACCCACCCATACTATGACCTCCAGGTGAAGGTGCTGAGGGCCACAAACATCCGGGGCACAGACCTGCGTGAGTGACCGTCACCAGCCTTCTCCCTGTCCTTTCCCTGTGGCCTCCTCAGAGCTCGGCTCAGGCCAGCAAAGAGTGTGTGTGTGTGTACGTGTGTGATAAGTGAGAGTGCATGTGTGTATATGCGTGTGCGTATGTGTATACATGTATGTGAGTATACGTGTGTGTATCCATGTGTGTACGTGTAAGTGCAAGTATGTGTGTGTTCAAGTGTGAGTGCATGTGTATACATGTGTGAGATGTATACATGTGTGAGATGTATAAGTGAGTATGAGTGTGGGAGCACAAATGTGTGTATACATGTGTGCAAGTGTGAGTGTGATGCAAGTGTGTCAGTGTGTGTATACACATGTACAAGTGAGTGCAAGTGCAAGTGTATATGTGAGTGGGAGTGTGTGAACATGAGTGGGTGTGAATGAGTGTATACACGTGTGTGTGCGTGTTGTGTGTATATGCGTGCAAGAGTGTGAGGGCATGTATACATGAGTGCCAGTGTGAGTGTGTGTGTGAATGTGTGAATGTGAGTGTGTATACATGTGTGTGAGTCCCAGTGTGAGAGTGTGTGTGTATACATGTGTGCTTGTGTGAGTGCAAGAGTGTGTGTGGAGTAGGTGGAGGGACTGTGCTGTCCACGGAGGTGACGGCAGGCACGGCTGGAGGGGAGAGCTGTGCCCACTTGGCCTCTTCCCCACGCCTGTGAGTCCCCCCTGGGTGAGAGTGTGAGGCCTGCTGCGGCTCCAAGTCAGTGTGTGCTCTCAGGGAGCTTTCCATGCCGGTGCCCGCACTGGGAGGGGATTTGACTGCCTGAGTCAGGCAGTATGTGGAATGAATGGCCTGTGCTGCCAAGGGATCTTTCCAACTGGCTGCTGCAGGACTTCTGTTCAGGTGAATGGGAGGTGTATGGAATCAAGATGGAACGAAAGACATCAAAGCTCTCCTTCCCTTTTCTCACCCCTCCATGCCACTTGGGCAGCGTCCCTTCCCCATTCAGCTCCTTTCCCTTCTGCCCCAGCCTCCCCCAGCAAAACCCTTCCCCTGTCCTACCTGCAGTGTCCAAAGCCGACTGCTACGTGCAACTGTGGTTGCCCACGGCATCCCCCAGTCCTGCCCAGACTAGGATAGTGGCCAACTGCAGTGACCCCGAGTGGAATGAGACCTTCCACTACCAGATCCATGGCGCTGTGAAGGTGAGGGCCAGGGGCCAGGCTGTGGAAGGAGGGGACTCCTCAGGTGGCTGCCCTCCTGTCCTGCCGCAGGCTCCGACCTCCTGCCTGACCTGTCCCCAGAACGTCCTGGAGCTCACCCTCTATGACAAGGACATCGTGGGCAGTGACCGGCTCTCCCAGCTCCTGTTTGACCTGAGGAGCCTCAAATGTGGTCAACCCCACAGACACACCTTCCCACTTGACCACGAGGTGAGCCCACCAGTGCTGGCGGAGAGCCCAGCTGGAGGAACGGAGGCCCAGCACACGCTACTGAAGAGGGGGCTCCGGCCAGCACAGGCCAAGCATCCAAGACAGACCTTCCTCCATCCCACAGCCCCGACCCAATAAAGCTTTCACACATCCTCCTTGCATAGAACAAAAACACGAGCTCCTTCCAGGCAGTGTGTGGCCTGTCTCACTCACAGCTGAATCCTCAGTGTCTAGAACAGCACCTGACACATATTTTGGAACGAATGAGGCTTTCCATAGAGATACCGCTGCCCCTTCTGTGTCCATGACAAGCCAAAATGTCAGTTTCCCCTTCTGGTCCCTGGAGCCGAGCAGGGTTGGCAGGCAAGAACAGCTGTGGGGGCTTTTGGAGCCTTTAAACAATTGGTGCTCCCTCCCCCTCCATGTAGGATTTACAAGAGCTGCAGGTGGAATTCCTTTTGGAGAAGAGGTGAGTTCTGGCAGAGCCCACTTCCTCAGAGACTCCAAGATTTGAGTTGCGGCAGCTCCTAGGGGCCAGTCACCATGTCCTGTACTGGCCTTGCAGGCCTGGCCTGGAGGAGACAGCCTGGTCTTGACACCCACTGCATGTTGGATGACAGCCTCACCCCACCCCAAATGCTGCCATGCTTCCCAGACTCTGCCTGTTGCTTCAGTCACATGATTGTAGCAGCCATCATGATGGGGCCAAGATGTCCCACATATTTCTCATCCTTTGCAGCCAGGTACCTGCGTCTGAAGTCATCACCAATGGGGTTCTGGTGGTGAGTGGGGAAGGCGAGGTTGGTGCTATCCCGGGCTGGGGGGCAGTGAGTAGCCCCTGTAGGAGCCCATCAGGCCCACTTGCCTCTGAAGCCCTTCTCAGAGGGGAGACATGCTAGGAAAGCACCTCCAGAGGGGAAGGACAAGAAGCTCCCAGGCACTTGGTGGACAGCCCAGAACTCCAGCCTCCCACCTCGCACATGGCAGATTACTCACTTGGGCGTCCGGCTGCTGAGACCACTGGAGCAGCCACTCTCACGGCTCCTCACCTCCTCCCCCTTTCCCACCAGTGCCCACTTCCTCTGAGTCTGGGGAAAGGGGCTGGGTATGACCTTGAGCTGCTGTAGGAGACTCCTACCCTTGAGGCCCAGGTCCTGGGAGGGCTGTTTCCGAGACCCCGGCCCAAGCCCTCCTCCCTCCCTCCATCCTGGCTACGGCCCATGGGCTGTCTGGCTCCCACAGAGCTCTGCTTTCCTCAGGCTCACCCCTGTCTGAGAATCCAGGGCACGCTCCAGCGAGATGGGACAGCCCCATGTCAAGAGTTCGGTGAGTCTGCTCAGTGGCCTCGGGTCTCGCCTTCTCTCCTGGGGTTGGGACTACTGATGTCAAGGAGGCGGGTCCGGGGCAGGAAGTTCTTAAAGTTTTCGCTGCTCAAAGCCAAACCATGGGATGGATTGCCCCTGGAGGCAGTGAATGACCTGCCCTTGGAAGCGTTTGAGCAAAGAGGTTGTAACCGCCCAACTATTGCTGTACAAGGAACACCCACATGATCTTAGTGGCATACAAGCAGCATTTATTCGGCTCACACACCTGGTGGTCAGCGGGGGTGGGGGTGTGTGGGGGGGTCCACCCTGCGCCAGGTGTCCCTCCTCTGCCTCCTATGACAAGCCCATTAGCCTAGGCATGTTCTCAAGGCATCCGCAGAGGCCCAAGAGAGCAAGCCCAACTGAGCAAGTGCTTGTCGAGCCTGGTCACATCCTGGCCACGGCCTAACATGTTATTGGCCAAAACAGGGTTACACTCAAAGCTGGAGGGCAGGGAACATAGCTGGCCTCTTTTTTTTTTTTTTTTTTTTTTGAGATTCTCCTACCTCAGCGTCCTGAGTAGCTGGGATTACAGGCACGCGATACCACCTCTGGCTAATCTTTGTATTTTTAGTAGAGACGGGGATTCACCATGTTGGTCAGGCTGATCTCGAACTCCCCACCTCATGATCCGCCTGCCTCGGCCTCCCAAAGAGCTGGGATTACAGGCGTGAGCCACCGCGCCTGGCCTACAGTTGGCCTCTTTAGTGGGAGGAGCTGAAGTCACACGGCAGAGTGAGAATACAGGGGAAATGAAGAATTGAGGTTGTTAAACCCAGTGCCACAGAGGGCAGCCACCCAGGCCGGGGAGTTGGAATGTGAGATTGCAGTGGTGGCTGTGTGACAGCAAAGGCCCCTTCCAGTGCTGACAGGCTGAGCCTGCAGGATGAGTCCCGCCCAGGGAACACGGAGCACTCACTCTGAAGCGGGCCCTGGGCTAAGCATTTCAATGCGTCTTATCTCATAATCCTCCTAACAACCGTGTAAAGCAGGCACAATCATTGTCCTCTAATTCATGAGACTGAGGCCCAAAGAAGACGCTTGCTCACGGGCACACAGCCAGTAAGTAGTAGGTCTGTGACACGCCGGTTCTCTCAACCATGGATTAGATGGTTTCTTCTTATGAATAGCACATCTCCATCTCAGTCCGTAGGCCTTGGCGTGAATAAAATATCACTTTCCTTATGTTCTTGAATTCCCTCCCACGCTTGGGTCATGTCGAGTCTCCGGGCCTCATCTAGTGCAAAGAGGGCTGTAAGGCGGGGTCCCCTCCAGACCTCTGACCCCTCAGTGTCCGCTGTCCTTGAATCCTTTGGGGCTTTGTCGCTCCCATGTTGTGTTAGGGGCTGGGACTCCTGGGAGGCTGTCTATGGCCCCCTCTGCCTGGATGTCCTGTGCAGCCATTTCTCTCTGGGGTGTGGCCTCCTCCCCGGGAAGCTGCTGAAAAGCTGGGCAGGGAGCTCTGGAACCCACAAGCCCACCCCCTCGTGCCTCCCAGCCTGTGCATCGCCTCCCAGCCTGGGCATCGTCTTCCAGCCTGGGCCGGCCTCCGCTGCTTCTCCAGGACGTGCATCTCTCTGTACCCACGCATCCCGTTCTTCCTCTTCCCGCCTCTGCAAACCTTCTTCCTCTCCCAACATCTGACACTTTTGGAAACAAAGGACAGAACAACGTGCAGCCCGTTGGTTTTCTCTTGGACCACAAACCTCCCCCAGCCCAATGAGCAAAGAGCCTGAAGTGTGGCAAGAGAAGAGGAAACCACTGCCTGAAAGCTGCTTATTCTTATAATAAACATAGAATCATCTCAAGATTGTCAGCCCCACAGGCTATGGGCAGAGCCCTGCTTCCTCCCCGCTCCCTGCCTTCCCCTCCAGGCCTTTGTGTGCTTCCCATCCTTCCCCAAGTCCCAATTCTGACCAGGACAGGCTAGAGGACCCAAGAGTCCTCCTGGAGGCTTTCTCTTTGAGCAGAGTGCTCGAGAGGGCAGGGCGATAGGTGTTGGCATTTTCTAGGGGAAGGGAAGGGGTACCGCCAGCATGAGCCGCACAGATACAGACCCACCCCTCACCTGTGCGCTCACCTGGGCCCTCTGCTCTCAGGCTCTAGGCAGCTCCAGCTGGCAGTGCCTGGGGCCTATGAGAAGCCACAGCTCTTGCCTCTGCAGCCTCCTGCAGAGCCAGGCCTCCTACCCACCTTCACCTTCCACGCGAACCCAGTGCTGAGCTCCAGGCTGCACGTGGAGCTGATGGAGCAGCTCGCGGCTGTGCAGGTGAGTGCGCCTGGCAAAGGGCAGGACCGTAGCTCCAAGGCCATATTGAAGGCGCCTTCTCTTCCCCGCTGGAGAGCTCCTTGGGTGTTTTCTTCTCCACAGAGTGGCCCCAGCATGGAGCTGGAGACTCAGACCAGCAAGCTGGGCGAGGGAGGCATCCTGCTCTCCTCTCTGCCCCTAGGCTGGGAGGAACAGCGTTCTGTGGCCCTGGGGGAGGTAAGGCTCTGTCTGGGTGCCAGAGGGACCCCTGCCTGCTCTCTGTGACCACCAAGAGAGGTCTGGATGAGGGAGCCAAGAGGGTGACTGGATGAGGCCAGCCCAGAGCTCAGTCACAGTATTTACGTCAGGCCAGAGATAGCAGGGCTGTGGGGGCTACAGGTAGGGGAGCCATTTCCCTGGGAGATTCCTGCTCAGAGAGCTCAGGGTTGGGGCCCCTGTGTCTTTCAGGGTTAGGAAGTGGCTCTGAGTGTGAAGGTGGAAATGAGGTGAGTGGGACTTCAGGCAGAAGGCCTCTCAGGGTTGGGCTGGAAGTGCGGGGACATACCCCAAAGTGCTCCGCTCTCTTGCCCACAAAGCTCAGGCTGTGGGGTGGGGATGACACCTTTCCTTCCCCCTTGGAGCTGCTGCTGTGTGAAAGACCTGGGCTGGGCCCAAGGCTTTTGTCCACTGGAACCCAGAACCCCGCCCCTGCCCCACTTGATGCAGCTCCGCGGACCTGGACCTACGCCTTGGCTTTGACCTCTGTGATGGGGAGCAGGAGTTTCTGGACAGGAGGAAGCAGGTTGTGTCCAAGGCCCTGCAGCAGGTGCTGGGATTGAGTGAGGCTCCGGACAGTGGCCAGGTATGGAATGAAGGAGGGGCTGGACCGCAGAGTCACTAGAACCAAATTGAGCCTCTTCCCTTGAGAGGACCATCATGGCTAAGAGTGGACAGGAAGCCCAGAGGAAGGTTGTGTGCAGAGGAGGTTGGCCTGTTCACTTGAGCTGATGGGCACCATCCGCAGAGCCAGGACCCCATATGGGACTAGGGCCAATCAGCCCTGCCAGGGTTGGATGTCTTGGTCTGTGTGGGCTGCTGTAACCCCATGGACCAGGTAGCTTAAATGACAAAAATGACTTTTCCCTCAGTTTTGGAGGCTGGAAGTCCAAGATGCAGGTGCCATTATCAGGGCTGGTTTCTGCTGGGGCCCCTCTCCTCTTCCTGGTGGGGCCGTCTGGCCATGTTCTCACGTGGCTGTTCCTCTGTGCATGTGTGCAGAGTGTGTCCCTTGGTGGCTCTGCCTCCTCTTCTAAGGACCCCAGGACTCACTTTGCTTTTTTTTTTTTTTTTTTTTTGAGATAAAGTCTGGCTCTGTTGCCCAGGCTGGAGTGCACTGGCATGATGTCGGCTCACTGCCCCCTCTACCTCTGGGGTTCAAGTGATTCTCCTGCCTCAGCCTCCCGTGTAGCTGGGATTACAGGCATGTGCCACCATGCCCAGCTAATTTTTGTATTTTTAGTAAAGGCGGGGTTTCATCATGTTGGTCAGACTGGTCTCAAACTCCTGACCTTGTGATCGGCCCGCCTCGGCCTCCCAAAGTGCTGGGATTCAAGGAGTGAACCACCGCGCCCGGCCCATTTCACCTTTATTACCTCCTTGTAGGCCCTATATCCAAGTACTGTCACATTGGAGGTTAGGGCTTCAACAAAGGAATTTGGAGGGGGACACAGTTGGTTCTGTAATGTGGTAAAAGGGATGTGGAGGTGGGGGGGGTCCCTGGGATCCTCTGGGTATAGCGACAGCCAGCCTGTGTCTGGGAGGCAGGAAGAAAGGGGTGCTGGGAGAGGGACTTACGCGGGATCAGGAATAGGCTGCTGTCTTCCTCCTGGCTGCCTGTGTCCTCAGGAAACACTGTCACTGTGGCCCAGCGCTGATGAGCCTAGATCGTTCATTCGGTCAATACATATGCCCACTTCATGCCAGGTATCTGCTCTGCCTCATCCAGCACTCTGAAGCGACAGCTCCTTCAGTGAGCAGTGGCCAGGGAGCATTTTTTTCAAGACAGGAGAAGAAAAGAGAACAGAAAAAAGGGCCAAAAATCCAGGGTGTAATGAGCCAAATCTTTGTGGAAAAGCTGAGCAGGCAAAAGCTTTGACTCTGACCCCCCAGGCACCTCCGATCCTGAGGAGACCTTAAAACCTCTGGGCACCTTTGGTGTCTGGGGGCAGATCCAGGCTGCTTGCTGGCCTTTGTCAGTTTAGCTCAGTGAAGCTCAATGGGGAGCAATTTATTTCCTTCCCCCTGGGGCCATTTGTCCATGCGTAGAGATCTATTTCACTGTTGCTGCTGGGAGAGGAGAGGTGGAGGGAGGCTACTGGCTTCTACTGGATAGAGGCGGCCAGAAATGCTGCTAAACATCCTACAACACACAGGACAGTCCCCACAGCAAAGAGCTACCTGGTCAAGAATATCAAGAGTGCCACAGTTGAGAGGAACCTGCTTTAGCTGTTTTTGGGGGAATCAAATGTACCTTCCCAGCCTATATCTTCCAGGTAGAATGCTTAAGGTCTATCCCTGGAGCCATACTGCTTAGGTTTGAGAGCTCATCACTTAATAGCTGTATGATCTTGGGCACATTACTTAACCTTTTCATGCCTCGGTTTCCTCATCTGGAAAATGGAGTTCTCAATGGATTGCTGTGAGGATTCAATGAGATAATACATGTAAGGCTCTTAGAATAATGTCTGACATGTATAGGCAATAACATGTAACAGACAGTGCTAGCAGGAGTCATTATCATTGTTATTATTGTACCCAGGTGCCTGTAGTGGCTGTGTTGGGTTCCGGGGGTGGAACCCGAGCCATGTCTTCTCTGTATGGCAGCCTGGCGGGGTTGCAGGAGCTCGGCCTCCTAGACACTGTGACCTACCTGAGTGGGGTCTCTGGATCCACCTGGTAAGCGAATGGGGTCAGGGCACAGGGTAAAGGAGACCCCCACAAAGGGTGGGGGTGTGACCTGGTGATCTAAAGGAGTCCCTGAGGGGCTGGGGTCATGGGGGTAAGGAGGGGTAGGAAGAGGCTGAGTCCCAAGGGCCCCTTTGAGTGGCGTTGGTTGCAGGGCAGCAGGTGCAAGTGATGTACCCCCTATCCCTAGGTGCATCTCCACACTCTACAGGGACCCACTCTGGTCCCAGGTGGCCTTGCAGGGCCCCATTGAGCGTGCCCAGGTTCGCGTCTGCAGCAGTAAGATAGGAGCTTTGTCCACGGAGCGGCTACAGTACTACACTCAGGAACTTGGGGTCCGGGAGCGCAGTGGCCACAGTGTGTCACTCATCGACCTCTGGGGCCTTCTCGTGGAATATTTCCTGTACCAGGAGGTGAGAAGAGCCGGAAGGAAATACACAGGCTCTTCCCCTCTCCTTCCACCTGCCCCTTGCTTCTGCCTCATCCCGCTGGCTAAGCTCTGATTTGCAAAGCTGTTCCCGAGGTCACAGCTCCCCTGGGGCAGCAGTGAAACCCCAGGGTGGGCTGGTACCGCTTCGCCTCCCTAGCTCCCCCTGCTGGGGAAGAGCCCAGCCCGCAGTGCCGAACTCGCTGCACGTTAGAATCACTGGCACAGCTTTTCAAACACTCTCATGCCTGGGCCCCACTTCCAGAGATACTGATTTTAGTTGGTCTCAGGATGTTTTGAAAGTAATTCCAGCCCACACCTGGAAGTGAGGCCTAGCACCACGCCTACTCCTTCTTGGCCAATCCAGCCGTAACTCACTCAGCCTGGCTGCAGCTACAGTCAGTAAGATTCAGAGCTGCTCCCCACCACTGCTGCTCTGAATGAAGAGACCACTTAAACAGGCTTTGTGTGAGCAACAAGGCTGTTTGTTCACCCGGGCTGAGTCTGAAAAGAGAGTCAGTGGAGGGCGGCGGGATAGGAGTTGGTTTTATGGGTTTGGGGTAGGCAGTGGAAAGTTATAACAGTTACAGTTCACGGCGGTTTTTGCAAGCCGGGGGGTATTGCTGGGATGGCGGTTGGGGGGCGGGTCATAAGGTCCAGAGTCACAAGGTTGGGTTATCAGCTAAGGCAGGAACATTTGAGGCAGGACCAACGGTACAATGTCGCCAGGCCGGTGAATTAGGCTTCGCAGGAGCAGCCATTCTGCCTACTTCAGACTTTCTGGCTCTGGGAGGCCATCCAGAGGTGTACTTGTGGGTCAGGGGGGTCATCATGGCTGGACTTATGGTATGGCCTATGGTGCAGCCAGTTCAAAGAACCTTGCACCCATGTGTGGTGATCAGTTGTGGGTGGATATCACAAGTGATTTCTCATTTCTAAGCAAATAATCTACATTTTCCAGTAATTTATTTTTTAAAGAAATTGGACTGACTTTTCAAGGATTCCCTTAACAATGTCACCCTGTCTCCCTGGTGTTCTGATGTACTGTTGTGAATAGTAAAGAAGGTGGGAGGGTGTTTCCATAGTCCCCGGAATTGTACAGACCCACACTGGGCTCCCGTCAGCCACGGCCTGAAGCCTGTCCGTCAGAGAGCTGTCCATACAGCACTGGCCTTGGCAACCCAAAGCCTCTCTTGCTGGCATGCCGTACCCTGCAGGGTACCAGCCCCAGGCCACGGGGATGGGAAATGGAACTCCCAAAAGGCTAAGCTGCCTCCCTTCTTTCCTGCCCAGGAGAACCCTGCCAAGCTGTCTGACCAACAGGAGGCGGTCCACCAGGGTCAGAACCCTTACCCCATTTACGCCGGTGTCAACGTCCGCACCAACATCAGTGGGGAAGACTTTGCAGGTGCCTGGGTGTGAAGACAAAGGAAGGAGGCAGAGGAGGTGGTGGGTGGGAAGGTGTGAGAAGCCAGGGCAATCAGGGTACCCATAGGAGGTAGTTGCACACAGACACCTTGGAGTACAGTGGGGCTGCTGCTTCCTGTCACTGGCAGGGCTAAGATTCCTGCTTGGGCACAAGCACCATGGGGGCAGCCCCTGGTGACTTTCCCTTCACTTGGGCCCCTAGAGTGGTGTGAGTTCACCCCCTATGAGGTCGGCTTCCCCAAGTATGGGGCGTATGTTCCCACCGAGCTCTTTGGCTCAGAGTTCTTCATGGGACGATTGCTGCAGCTCCAGCCCGAGCCCCGGATCTGCTACCTGCAAGGTGAGTCAAGGCTGGAGGGCTGGGGACAGGCAGGTGCCAGGGCCAGGCCCTGACATGGGGTGGGGCCCTGACTGTCTCCTTAGGTGTGTGGGGCAGTGCCTTTGCTGCCAGCCTGGATGAGATCTTCCTAAAGACTGCCGGCTCAGGCCTCGGCTTCCTGGAGTGGTACAGAGGCAGTGTGAATATCACAGGTGAGGCTAGCGACCCTGAACCCCTCCCACACCACATTCCAGCAATAGGGCCTTGGCAGAGACGTGAAGAACGAGGGAGGGGACAGAGAAGGACTTGGCTGTCCCACTGGACTCAGGGAGGTCTTGAGGAAATGACATCTAGCTTAGGGTCTCTAGATGCCTAGAGGTATGATCAAGCCACACCTGTAAGTTCTCTGTTCTGGGATCCAGCTAGGTCCATTCAGTGCAGGACTACTGGGTATTTGGTGGATACTCTGTCTACAGATCATCAGTAGCTCCTCTTCAGCCTGGTCCTTAAATAGCGTGTGGGAGCCGCATGGTTCAGGGCATCCTTCCCGCCTTTCTCCCGCGGATTGCTTTTGCTCTTTTCTTTCAGATCAGCTCAGATGTCATTTTGGCCGGGCGCTGTGGCTCACGCCTGTAATCCCAGCTCTTAGGGAGGCAGAGGCGGGAGGATAGCTTAAGCCCAGGAGTTCGAGACCTGCCTGGGCAATATAGCGAGACCCCGTTCTCCACAAAAACGAAAATAACAAAAAGACAAAAAAAAAAAAAAAAAAAAAAAAAAAAAATAAGCGTAACTTCCCTCAAAGATGTCATTTTGTCAGACATCTCTCTTCCACTCCACCCTCTAGGCTGCCTGAGAGTCTTACCACTGTGGTCCCCTAGGAACATATACACATACCTATTGTCATCCTTACCCTGGGGCATTGTCATAATTTATTGCCTCTTTATGCGACTTTCCCCCACAAGTAGGCCGTGCACCTGGGAGGGGCAGGGCAGGCCCCATTCACCTTTGCAGCCCTCATGACTAGTGCAGTGCCGGGCGTGGTAACTGCTCAGTCAGTGTTTAATGGACAAAGTCCTGATTAGAAGCTGTAGATGCAAACTTTATTTTCGAAAGGGTGGAAGATAAATTATTATTTAGTAAATACAATGTTATAGGCAGTTTGCAAAACATAGAGGATACAAAAGAAAAGTCGTTTCAAAGTGGTTCGATGAGGGATTGGTCAGAGGCCTGGGAGGAAGACAGAGGAGGAGGATGTGGGGAGGGCTCAAATAAGGACCACTGGGCAAAGGAGGACGCCACTTCTCCCTCTATTTCACTGTCCCACCCTGTCTAGATGACTGCCAGAAGCTTCAGCTGCACGACCCCTCGAGGCTTCGGACTAGGCTCCTCACCCCCCAAGGGCCCTTCTCCCAGGCTGTGCTGGACATATTCACCTCCCGCCTCACTTCCGCCCAGAACTTTAACTTCACCCAGGGCCTTTGCTTGCACAAGGACTATGTGGCTGGCAGGGAGTTCGTGACCTGGAAAGGTGCGTGCTGCCCTGGGTGAGAGATAGGGGGGCTCCCCCTCCTGCCTGTGCCTCTGGCTCACTGGGGCCAGTGATGGCTTTGGTCTACGAGTTGAGGTGTGGTCTCCTGCTGCTGATGGGCTGATGCAGAGTGACTCATTACTGCTGGAAGTGGGAAGGCAGGGCCTAAGACTTGGGGTGGGAGACTCCATGACTGTCAGAGAGAACTCTACGGAGAGAAGCGGAATGTGAATGCGAATACAGAAGGGGTTGCTCACAAGAGCAACTGCATTCACCCCTGTGCGTACACATGCGTTCCTTGCAGACACACACCCGGATGCCTTCCCCAACCAGCTCACTCCGATGCAGGACTGTCTGTACCTGGTAGACGGAGGCTTTGCCATCAACTCCCCATTCCCACTGGCTCTGCTGCCTCAAAGAGCGGTGGACCTCATCCTGTCCTTCGACTATTCCTTGGAAGCCCCTTTTGAGGTGAGCTGGGGAGGCAGGGGTGTGGGGAGCACCTGCAGTGAGTGAACAGAGGGTGAGGGAGGAGAGGAGGGGAAGAAGGCTCTAGTGAGGGGGGCTGGCTGGGCGTGTGGGGATCGCCCTTTGTGGACGGCCTGGGTTCTACACTGTGTGTGAGGGGGTGCCTTGTGAATGCTGTTGGCATCACGGCTCTCCCAACTGGAGGAGGAGAGTTGTTGAGATTATGGTGGGAGTGGGAAGAGACAGCCAAAGAGGGTCCCGAGGAATATTCTAGGCTTATCTATAGAAGACCCCCAGTTCCAGACTCTGCCCGTTCATGACAGAACTCCCCACTCCAGTTTGACCTGGGTCTGTGGCCCCTTTGTTACCATGGTAACAACAGAGCCATCAGGGTCCCCTCTGATGCTGGAGCCCTGCAGCGACTCCCTCAAACCCTGTGGGGTGGTGGGCAGAGGCCCATTCCCATGTGGGTTCTGGTGGTGCTGCTGGAGCAGCCCTTTTTTGGTCTTCTCCTTGTCCTGGGTCCAGTGAACACCTGGGATTGATTGGGGATTGGCAAAGCCTCTTCTGACATGGACCTTCTGTAACTGTGGCGTGTCAATCTTGTGAAACTGACATTAGTCCCTAATAGGGAGCAGAGGGGGTGACAGAAGGGAAGACCATGGTAGTTTTGGGAGGAATGATATTGAGGCAGTAGATGATTGTCGATCATTACTGATTGTTGTTAATCTTCACAATAAACCCACTGGATAGGGGAGTTTAAATTTTTTTATTTTGCACATGAGAAACCAGCTCAGAAAGGAGCTGTCACCTGCCTGAAGTCACTCAGCTAGTCAGAAACAGAAAAAGGTGTATGTGAGTCTGGGGCAATAGGGGGTGGACAGGGTGGAGGGGAGTGGGGGTCAGAGGCTTGCTCCTGCCCAGGTCTTGAAGATGACAGAGAAGTACTGCCTGGACAGAGGAATCCCCTTCCCTACCATCGAGGTGGGCCCTGAGGACATGGAGGAGGCCCGCGAGTGCTACCTGTTTACCAAGGCCGAGGACCCCCGCTCGCCCATCGTGCTGCACTTCCCCCTTGTTAACAGCACCTTCCGCACACACCTGGCCCCAGGTAAGGGAAGCTCCAGGCCAGGGAATGACCCACAGAGCCCTGGGAGGGTGACGGAATACTGCTCTGAGGGTGGGTTCCCTGGAGAATGTCCCTAAGCATGCCTCCTGGTGGGCCTGAGCTGGCCCCTACAGCCCTCTGCTCCCTGGGTCTCAGCGTTTACATAGGGCCAGCCTCTCCTGGTGGGTCTGAGAGCTGAGATGCGGCCCAAGCAGGGCCCGCATGGAGCCAGCCAGGTGTCCTGCACAAGGACAGCTGTACCAGCCAGTTCCGTGGAGGGCTCCAGCCTGGCCTCTCCTCTGTCTCCCCCATCCACAGGTGTGGAGCGACAAACAGCTGAGGAGAAGGCCTTTGGGGACTTTATGATCAACAGGCCAGATACCCCCTATGGCATGATGAACTTCACCTATGAGCCCCAGGACTTTGATCGGCTGGTGGCCCTGAGCCGGTACAATGTTCTGAATAACATGGAGACCTTGAGGTGTGCCCTCCAAATGGCTCTGGACCGGCAGAAGGTTGGGGGCTGACCAAGGCAGGAGACAGAGGACTGTGACCCAGAGGAGACACCCTGCTCAAAGCCAGGGCGTGTAGAGGGAGGAGCAATGGGAACTCTGTGCGGGGTCTGCTGCCCTTCTCTCTAGGACCTGCCTCAAGGTGCCCCAGACCCTGGAAAGCTCTTGCACAATTGCAGCTTGGACTTGCGGCAGTGGCCTCCTCTTGGAGAAGATGGGGCAGTAGATCTCTCCAGGGGATCTTGGGGAATCGAGGACAGAAGACAGCAGCACTCATTTCACAGCCAGGTGTGGAGAGAATCAGGTACACCACAGGGCCCACCCCAGGCACAGAAGGACCTCAGAGGGCCCGGGTCCTCAGACCCACACAGAACAGGGGCTGAGGGTGCCGAGGTGCCAGCTGTCCTCCTCATACCAAGATGGAAAACAGAGACCAATCCACCCATACTTCCTGCAGAATGGCCCAAGCCCCAACCCCACCTCAAGCTCCTGGATGCACTGCTGTCAAGAATCAAGAACAAGGTGCTGGGTGGGTGACTCCATCGTTCTAACCCTCCTTCTGCTTTCTGGCCTCCTCATGCCTCCTCCCAGATCACCCTTTTCTTCCCAGCATCCTAAAGCCTGTGGGGTGCTCCAGGTGGGAGATGTGAAATGTCCCCCTGCTAATCACCCATGCTTCAACCTTTGAGTATGTGCCACATTCTCTGGTCATGTGCATGGTGGCCACGTTATGCAGATATAGTCTCACCATTCCCAGGAGCTAAATGGGTGTGTCCAGAAGGGGCATCTGTTCATCGGGCGAGAGTGGATGTATTCCTGTATGTGGGGCAGGGGCTGTGCTAGTTCCGGGGGGTGGGTAGGTGGCAAGGCCTGGGCGGGGCACAGGAAGCCTCGCCTGGGCTCCTGCCCCTTTCCCAGATGCATCACTGGTCTGGGCAAGTCTTGTTTGTTGCTCTCCCTCTTTCCCATTCCCCTGACCTGCCAGGAACTCTTCAAATTATCTAGAACCTCCCTTGTGGGCAGCACTAAGATCTCTGAAGAAGAGGAGATCCCTTTCCAGCCAGGCCCTCTCCATCTGGCTGTGGCCTCTGCAGCATATGCCCCAGTGCTAAGCCACCTGGGACCCTGCAGCGGCACTTGAGCCCCTGTGCCGCCTTCTCTGCACTCTCACACAAACATGCTGTCAGGGACCACAGCCACAGTCCGACTTCAGTCAGGGATACCAGTGCTGGGAAGCCTCACCTGTGCGGAGTCTGGGAAGAAGGTGCTAGTTCTGGCTCCTGGGTGGGGGAAGGGTGACCAGAGCCCAGCCTCTGTCTTGGCCTGGCCTGGTCTGGGACTCACAGGCATCCAGCTGGCATGAGCTGTGAGGACGGGGGGAGCAGTGCTTTGGGCTGGCATGGGGTGGGGGCATCTCAGTTCTCCCCGCCACCTCCTCACTACGGCTGCCTGTCACAGGCCACCGCCCCTCCTCTGGGCTCAGCAGTGAGGGATTTATCTGGGAGTTGATCTGGCTCCTGCTGCGGCCACCGTCATCAACACCGCTGTGCCTTCCGTCATCAATACCGCTGTGCCTTCCGTCATCAATAACTTGTTAGTAGAATGTTCATAGGGTTCACAGCTTAGAACTGCACAGCCTTCACAACTTAGAATCTGCTGTGTTTCTTCAGTGCCTCATAGAGCTTCAGGCTGTCCCTGGCTCCTAGAAAGTCAATCTACTGATGGTGAGGATTTTTGTCTGTTTTGTTCATTGCTGTATCCTCAGTGCCCAAAGCAGCGGCTAATACATGGTAGCTGCTCAGTAAATATTTGATAAATGAATGGGAACTTACATTCTTTTTTTTTTTTTTTTGAGATGGAGTCTTGCTCTGTCACCCAGGCTAGAGTGCAATGGCTCAATCTTGGCTCATCACAACCTCCTCCCCCTGGGTTCAAGCGATTCTCCTGCCTGAGCCTCCCAATTAGCAGGGATTACAGGCACACATCACCATGTCCAGCTAATTTTCTGAATTTTAGTAGAGATGGGGTTTCACCATGTTTGCCAGGCTGGACTTGAACTAACCTCATGATCCACCCGCCTTGGCCTCCCAAAATGCTGGAATTACAGGCATGAGACACCGCACCCAGCGGGAACCTACATTCTAAGAGATGAATCATCACTCACCAACCACAAAAAAGTGTGCAGTGCTTTCATGATTCTTAACCCTTTTGGACATTTTGAAAAGCTGATGTAAACCACAGAGCCTCTTCCAAGAAAAAGGCACACACACATGACAATTTGCTTACAACAGGGTCTCTGCTTTAGCTATGTGATCCCCAACTCCAGGAATGTAAAGGCCAGTGTCTGTCCCCGCAGGCCAGCAAGGCTTGTAAAGGAGGCAAACGTGGGCTTGTGCAGAGCGGTTGGGGACCTTCTCTCACATACAAGTGTTGAACAATGGCGTTTGTGTTCAGATCAGACTTGGGAGGACACTGGGACATGATGGGATGGCAGGGAGCAGGAGGTTGGGCTAGGCTGTGGCCCAGATGTTGGCCAGAGGTTCAGGGAGGACCTCAGCTGGGGATGAGGAGGCACCCTCAGGACTGAATCTGGGAGCCTCGCAGAATGAGGAGCCAGGGGAGGGAACAAAGATAACCCAGCCAGTTTGATGTCTACTTCTCAGTGAGGAGGGATCTGAGTCTTTACCTTATTCCCAACCCTTGTCTAAGATGGCTGGAAATAAGCTTCAAGGTCCTCAAGGTGACAGAGTTGGAGGGATCTGTCCAGAAAAACAAGATTTCTCTTGAAGCTGGGTAGAAACACAGGAGTGGGGACATCATCCATTAACTTGTCAGAGCTCCTCATGAAGCAAGGGAAGAAAAAGGGGGCCACATGCCTGACACATATGGCTGCACAGGTTGTGCACTGCACAATGTCAGGTGATGCTATTCACAAGAACTGATGATGTGAATTTTTCTCTTGGAGTTGTGTGACCTAGCAGCCCTGGGACCACAGCTGCAACTGAGGATGAGGACAGAGGCTGGTTGTAGTATCAGGTCCCCTGGCTGCTTCAGTGCATCTCTGGGCATTCACAAGAATCTCCTGCAGAAAATAAAAATTGTAAAGCAAGTATCCCTTCCATTCCTTGGATGGTACAGCACTGGGAGAGGGGCCTCAGATACTGGGAGGTGGCTGGTGGGCATGGGTAACCCCCACCTTCTCTCAGCCCAGGCCATGCAGCTAAGATTGCTCAGTTGGTGGTGGTAATCAGCTGAGGGTTTAAATGAAATTTCCTTCATTTCAGATGGAACCATTCTTGCAGGGGAGAAAATCAGGGCACCCTGCCTAACCCTGCAGAAATCTCTTTTTCCCTAGAACCTCTGTTCTGTAAAAATCCACAGGGACACCCAACGAACAGGGCAGGGAGTCCTGGAATTTACTCCATGCAGGATACAGGAGTCTGTATGGGGCTGTCCTGGGAGCCACAGAGGCTGTTTGCCACTAGAGATCAGGGCTGGGAACTGTTTTTCCTATTAGGAAAGCTGAGGCAAAGGAAATACTAAGCAGTCAAGGACTCACTATGTTAGAAAGCCAGTTACTTTAGTAAGATTTTGGTCTTGGTTCTGAAAAAAATGTACAGATGCTTCTCGACTTATAATAGGGCTACATCCTAATAAACCCATCGGAAAGTCAAAAAATTTTAAGTCAAACCATCATTGAGTTGGAGATCATCTGTATAAATATGTAATAAAGGCCATTTTTTAAAAGTCTAACTACCAGCTCTAGGTGGGAAGCTTTGGCAAAGTAAGTGGAAAAAGGAGGCAAGGTTGGGGAGAGAGGAAAAGACAGAGGGGAAGAAGATATGAGTAAGGAAGAGAAGCGATGGGGAGCTACCCAGAGAGGGGCCACCTGGGGGGTGGGGGCGGGATGTGCTTTTGAGAGAGGCTCTGGCTGATTTATTGGCATTCACAATTCCTCTGTGGCTCTTATCCTTTGGCCCCAGAGTAATGGATCTCACCTGAGCTGCACATTGAATTCACCTGGGGATCTTTAAAATGACTGATGCCTATCGTGCTCTGCTTGGTCTACTGAAGGGTATCTTTCTGGTCCCACTTTCCCCACTGGGCTCCTCTGGACCATGGTGGCCGACGCTTCCACAGGAGGGTCCAGGTGGCCCTTACCTGTGCTTCGTCTAGTTCAGGTTGGTACCACTGAAGCCCCTTCTTGCTTTTCCTGCCTCCCTCTGGCCTCAGTGCTTCTCCCATCCTTGCCCTCCCACCTTCTCCGCTCCCTGAAAACTGCCAGAATTTCCTTGAGGCACCTCAAGGCCTCTAAGGGCCTGTAGATTTTTAGTTCCATCTTGGGTACAAGGAAATGCTGAGCCCAGGTCTCCTTTCACTCCCCATCCTCCACCTCTCCATTTATTTTACCGTGACTGGATTTCAAACACATCGTTCTCTTCCGGGGTTTCAGAGCAAGTCGTGAGTCTTGAGACACACTTATTTTTGGTTTGCCATGCTTTTTCTTTCTCCTCCCCTTTCCTGCTTTCTGGTTTGATTTTTTTCTTTTCCACTATCTGCTGGTTTGATTGTTATGCATCTTATTTCCAGCATTCTAATTGTTCCTCTTGTCAATTTCATTGACATACCATTTATATGCAATAGCACACGTTCACTCTAAGTGCACAGTAAGTGTACAAGACAGTAAGTGGACAGTTAAATGAATTCTGATAAATTTATGTACATGTGTAACTACCACCACAGTCACGATATGGAACATTTTCATTACCCCAAAACATTACTTGCATTCTGTCCCAGGCAATTTCCCCACTCCTGGCCCCAGGTGACTACTGATCGGGTTTCTCCCACATTGGATTTGTCTTTTCCAGAGTTGCATACAAATGGAACTATATAATTAAAAAATTGTTACTTTGAACCACTTAAAATGTTTTTTGACTTACAATTTTTTTTTTTTTTTTTGGGGGGGGACGGAGTTTCGCTCTCGTTACCCAGGCTGGAGTGCAATGGCGCGATCTCAGCTCACCGCAACCTCCGCCTCCTGGGTTCAGGCAATTCTCCTGCCTCAGCTTCCTGCATAGCTGGGATTACAGGCACACGCCACCATGCCCAGCTAATGTTTTTGTATTTTTAGTAGAGACGGGGTTTCACCGTGTTGACCAGGATGGTCTCGATCTCTTGACCTCGTGATCCACCCGCCTCGGCCTCCCAAAGTGCTGGGATTACAGGCTTGAGCCACCGCGCCCGGCTTGACTTACAATTTGTTGACTTTTTTATTTACTGTGTCGAGCTTTTCTCAACCTGTTCTGCATTTGCGAGTCATCTCTGTTGCTGGGTCTGTAGTTCATTCCTTAGTATTACTCACTAGGATTTATGTGGTATCCCACAATGTTTACCCATTCCCCTGCTGATGGAAATTTGGTTTATTTCCAAATGTAGCTCTCATTAAAGTCTTACTACTTAAATATTTATTTATTTATTTATTTATTTATTATTTTGAGACAGAGTCTCGCTCTGTTGCTCAGGCTGGAGTGCAGTGGCATAATCTCTGCTCACCGCAACCTCTGCCTCCCAGGTTCAAGCGATTCTCCTGCCTCAGCCTCCCAAGTAGCTGGGATTACAGGCGTGTGCCACCAGGCCTAGCTGATTTTTGTATTTTTAGTACAGACAGGGTTTCACCATGATGGCCAGGCTGGTCTCGAACTCCTGATCTCAGGTGATCCACCCACCTCGGCCTCCCAAAGTGCTGGTATTACAAGCATGAGCCACTGTGCCTGGCTGAACTGCGGAGTTAAAAATGTGCAATTCCAGCCTGGGAGAGCTGAAGGCACGATACATCAACCCATGAGAGCTTCTGCATGAAATGAGCCCAGCAGGCACAGCAGCATAGTAACCCTATACTGCTAGCTCTAGAGGGGCAGGGCTGCCCTAGGTTTTGGGGACTCAACCCTTCCAATGTGTTCAGGTAGCAGCGCAGGAAATAAAAGATTATTCTGAAGTCTTATGATTTAATTTGTCTGCCTTGCTGGGCTTTGCACTTACTTTGGACCCGTCACTTCTTTCTTTTGGCCTATTTCTCCTTTTTAAAATGAAATGTCTCCTGGAAATGGTGGCTCATGCTTGTAACCCCAGCAATTTGGAAGGCTGAGGTGGGTGGATCCCCTGAAGTCAGGAGTTCGCGACCAGCCTGGCCAACATGGTAAAACCTCATCTCCTCTACTAACAATACAAAAAATTAGCTGGGTGTGGTGGCGGGCACCTGTAATCTCAGCTGCTTGGGAGAATTGCTTGAACCCAGGAGGCAGAGGTTGCAGTGAACCAAGATCGCCTCGTTGCACTCCAACCTGGACAACAAGAGTGAAACACTGCTTCCAAAAAAGAGAAAGGAAGCATCTACCCTATATCTGTCTTACCATTGTATTTTGGAAGCACATCACTTTATTTTTATTATTATTTCACAGGCTCACGGCTGGAGGAAAATTTGCCTCAGGATGAGTTGTGCTGTGGGTCTTACCCATATCTGATTTAGATGAGACTCTGAACTTTAAACTTTTGCGTTGGTCCTGAAACAAGTTAAGACTTTTGAAGCTATTGGGATGTAATTAATGTATTTTGCATGTGAGGACATGAATTTGGGTAGTTAGGGGCAGAATGCTATGGTCTGAATGTATCCCCCAAAGCTCATGGGTTGGAAACCTAATTCCCAATACAACAATGTGGAGAGGTGGGACCTTTAAGAGGTGATTAGGTCACGAAGACTCTGCTTTAATGCAATTACGCAGTTATTGTGGGAGTGGGGTTTGTTCATTATTACACAAGTGGGT